TTTTCTCACTAGGAAATGTTGTCGCTTATTAAACGCAGCCTGAGGCGTGGATGTTAATGATCTGAGAGCTGCATATGAGACTCTTGTCATGTCTGGATGAACGACCTAAAGGAGGCAAGCATGCAAATGATGAATGCGTGGCCCGTGGGATGTGGAACAGTCTGCTTTGTCTTCTGATTGGCCTGTTGTCCACCGGGATTTTACACTTGTGGAATTTACATGAGAACAAGGCTCAGGGTATGTCCATATCCATATACTGATCTCTAATTATTATGCTGCGTTTACACCAGACGTGGAACGCGCGGATAAATCGCGCTATTCGCTAGTAAATAGCCGCGTGAACATTTGAGTTTACTTGCTTCATTTGCACGTAAATCCCGCTTCATTCACGCGTCAAATCCTCTTCATTCGCACGTCAAATTCACTTCGGAACAGACACAAATTCACGTGATGGGCCGGGATTCTGTCTGCCCGGTTACTCTAGCTTCGTTGCTAAATGGCTAACATGGATTTTATGAAGAAAATAACAGTGTTTATGTGCTTTATGAAGACTGAAAAACAGTGTTGATACGTTTAGGGCTGTGTCTGACTCCACTAGATTCTTTCAGAGGTGCTTCTAACTGAGCCAAGCCCAGTTTGATTAACTTTTTGTCGGTGTTGGCTGGAGGATTTCCTGGAGGATTTCAGGTGATACGTCATAATCACGCCCCCACAAGAGTAAGTTCCTGATTGGTTAATGCCGCGCGAATGTCCGCTGAAGTTCACATTTTTGAAATCGAGCGATTTTCACAAAACGTGTGTCCAACGCGCAAAACGCTCAATCCGCGCCGCGCCATTCGCACGTATCTCGGCATTCGCACCGCGCCATTCACGAATTTCGCGTCATTCACGCGTATCGCAGGATGTCTATTTGCACGTTTGCATTGACTTAACATGTAAATCACTCGCGCTTGACGTGCGTTCCGTGTCTAGTGTGAACGGAGCATTAGACTATGCATATTGTAGATATACCTAGATTTATACCTAGAAGCATTTTCTAGATCACTGCCGGCTCCATGACCGATTTACCTGGCACATTTGTTAATGTTTTGACACATTTACCGGTGTCTAATCTTCCTGTCTTATGCTAATTTAATAGTTTAATTCATTCATTCAGCTTCAGCTTAGTCCCTTATTTATCAGGGGTGGCCACAGCAGAATGTACCACCAACTATTCCGGCATGTGTTTTACGCAGCGGATGCCCTTCCAGCCACAACCCATTACTGGGAAACACCCATACACTCTCTCATTCACACATGCACTTATTCACTATGGCCAATTTATTTCATTTCAACTCCAAACTGCTCTTTTCTCAGGTTTGACAGACGTCGCTTGATTCTCTGCAGCCACAAAAGCCTTGCTATATTGAAAACGAGAGCTTGCAAGCGTGTCGATAAAACTCTTTGCAAGTTTTTTTGGGGTGTGTGAGAGGCAAGAGGCCGATAAAGAGAGGGGGGGGGGAGCTTCAGAAAAGACTGGCAAAGCTTTTTCCTCTGCGCTCTGAAGCAGAGAGAATCACTAATCATTCCCACAAAGCCTGGAGTCAGCAAGCTCATTCTCTCTTCAATATCTCTTTTTGAGGTCGCGCCAGCGGTGAGGTTCAGATATCACTCGCGCACATCACTGCCCGACACATAATGGCCTCTGAGTGGATGTGCTGTCAGTGATCAAACTTTAATGAACATCTTGATGCAATCGTATGGGTACAACACTTGGTCTAAAAGCGAGGCTCACCGGAAAAAAACTACAGTACAGGCAGCATTATAAGAGATGCACCTAGGAGAGGATACTTTGTTTAGGTCACTATACATGGATCTTGATTCTGATTGGCGGATGAACATTCTAAGGGGTGCAGGTCCACATATACAGTAAGGGAAACAAGTATTAAACATGTCACCATTCTTCCCAAAAACATATTTCTAAAGGTGCTGTTGACTTGACTTTATATATGTATATATATATATATATATATATATATATATATATATATATATATATATATATATATATATATATATATATATATATATATATATATATATATATATATATATATATATATATATATATATATATATATATATATATATATATATATATC